AACCACAGCCGTAGCTAACAGGATTGATAAAAGATGCTACTCATTATTGTCTTTGAATTTCACAAGCCTATATTGCACTTTGAATTCATATTTGATAATTTTATAGTTTTATTGAAATGAAGCAGTACTCTCTGGTCCTTCCCCCGCTCCCCCTGTCCCCACCACATCCTCCACCTGCCTTTTGTCTATGGAAAAATTTAGCCAGAGAACAAGTTTAATCGGGGAAGTGAGAAAATGCAGAAATAAAAGAAAACAACCCAGCAAGACTAAACAATAATGATAGCTTAGTCAATAAGCATAGTTAAAGACCTGTCATTCTGCTCAAGGGCTATATTCTGAGCCATATCCTGTGAGCCTTCTTGTAGATACTGAAACCCCCACCAGGTAGAAGAAGTTAACTACATGATGACTAGACTATGGCCATGACATAAGCTGCCACAATGATAAGAACTGGCCTCAAAGAAATGGGAGCAAACTGACCCTGGAACTGAAAAGTAACTGTACTTATAACAGTCAAGATGACCCTGGTCAGACCATCGATGACCAATTTCCAGATGATGGTCAGAGCTGACTGTGCTGTTTCTACAAGTAGCCCACTCCCTCAGCTTATAAAAGCTCCTGCCCACTGGTTGGGGGCCGGGAGCCAGCTTTTGGCTAGGAGTCTGCCACGCCTCACGTTATCCCCACCACCAGTTGCCAGCATCCAAAATAAAGCAACCTTCCCCTTCCACCAACCTGGCCTTTTTTTTGACTTTTGAGCAGTGAGCAGCCAAACCCCACTTTGGGCTACATTAGCTTGTAAATAGCACAGCTGTGTTCATTGCCCCCCTTTTCTATTAAAATTATTAATTTTGGAAATATATATGTACTATATGTCACAACTATGATCCTGTAAAGTTTTTTTCTAGTGATAATCTAAAAAAAAAAAAAAAAGAAAAAGAAAAATGAAAGTGGCCCAGGACTCTTTTGACCTTTGAAGAATTGAGGCTAAGATAAACTGGCCTAATTTATAATGCTCTTTCTATCTGGGAATTGTGTCCATTCACTGAGCTCTGGTATTTTTCCTGTTAAAAACCCCTTTTACTATTTTTTCCTATACAGAGTATGTATTGTCTACCAAATTTCAGGCATTCAGTACTAGCTCATTGCATGATTTCATTAACTGCATAAATAATCTGTCAAGTTTCTGGTGGTTACACTGTGTAGTTTTTACCCATTAAACAAACATTGATTTTTGAGCAACTGTTATGTGCCAGACTTTATATTCACTGTTGGGAATGGAAAGATGAATTTTAGAAATTCACAGCCCAGCGAAGGAAGCCAGACACATAAAGAGATAACAAAAAAATGAATAGGGAATTCCTTGCTGGTCCATGGTTAGGACTCCCCAGTTTCCCTGTCAAGGGTGCAGGTTCAATCCCTGGACTAACAGTGATAGGGACAGTAGAGAGAAATCAGAGAACACGCCCTGTTGGAGTTGACCGCTAACATGAGTCTCTAAAAGGTGACCAGATGTTAGCCAGAAATTGCATTTTAGTTAGCTTAAACTAAAGCTACTTTTTGAGTTATTATCAAGCCAACTGAAGCTCTTCTTTTCTTTTCATTTTTCTTTTCTTGAGACTCTCAGAAAGGCAACTTAAAGGAGGTGGTAATGACAGGTGGGTGTGAATGTTAGAAAACAGAGAGCTGGGTAAAGAGTAGTTTTCCGTATTCATCCAAGAGGATGCTCTGCTCAGCCAAGGTTTTCTCAGCTACATGGCAGGTAGAATGCTATACAAGTAGACTTTGAGGGCGGGTGTATCCAATTGTTAGAGCCTTTAGAGTCACACATTCCATTTTTCTTTTCTTAAATTTTATAGTCAACAAACAACCTATTGATGATGGTTTAGTTTCCCAAGTAGATTTCCTGCTACTGAGTATAAACTGACCTATGGATTCTCTTATCCCAATTCTATGATTATCCTAATTCTATTAGTTAATTTAGCATTTCAGTTATCCAGCTAAATTAACTGAGCATTATCAGTTATGAATGAGCCTTATCTTGTTATCAGAGACTCCTGTAGGTTTGATTACTACAAAAATCAGTACCCAAAGCCAGATTATCCTGCTGTGAATTGGCAAAATCAAGTTCATGTATTTTCATACTGAGGACCACAAATACAAACTGAAAAACTCGTCTTCATTTTCCTCTTGCCTGCAAAGTCCTACTGAAGTTCGAATGTTCTTGTATTACTCTCATCCAAAATCTATATCATCCACATTCTGATGAGTCTCAAATTTACATCACAAGCTTGGATTTCTCCTCCCAACTCCAGACTCATGTATCAAAGAATAACATCTCAAATGGTGGTTCCCCTCAATATTAAAAATAGAACTACCAAACAATACAGCAACTCCATTTAGGGGTATATAAATAAGACAATTAAAAGCAGGATCTCATATATTTGTACATTCATTTCATACCAGCATTATTCACAGTATCCAAAAGGTGGAAGCAACTCAAATGCCCACCAATGAGTGACTGGCTGAAGAAACTGTGACCTATACCTACAATGAAATATTACTTAGCCATAAAAAGGAAGGAAATTCTGGATGAAGCTGGAAGACATTATGCTAAGTGAATTATGCAAGTCACAAAAAGACATGAATGTTATGACTTCATTTACATGAGGTATGAGTATGAGTATCAAACTCATAGAAACAGAGACTAGAATGGTGGTTGCCTAGAGCTGGGGAAAAGCAGAATGGGGAGCTTTGTTTAATGGATATAGAGTTTTCTTTTTTCAAGATGATGCATTTCTGGAGGTTAATGGCCCAACAATGTGAATATACTTAACACTGCTGAACTGCATACTTAGAAGTGGTTAGGATGGTCAATTTTATGTGTATTTCACCACAATACATTTTTTTAAAAGAACCCAACTTTTGCTTAATTTGACATTTCCTCTTGAGGGTTGGAAATCAGTGTTTCTAGTTGAGGATTCACCTCTCAATAAATGTCAAAGGCTTTGCACACACAGCAGGTGACTTGGATAGGAGGAGAGAAGGTATACAGCACACTTGCGGGATGTTTGTACTGGGAGAAAGAGTATCTTTTGAAAGAAGTGTCTTCCCAGTTCAAGGACTGTGTGTCACACACACAGCCAATGCAGTGATTGTAGAGGCTCATTTTGGGAAATGAACTCAAAGTTAGGATGGTGTGGGAAGTTATTAAAGTTCTCACTGAGCCCCTGAACCCTGTGATCCCCAACTCTTAAAGGACTATCCTTCATCAGGTTTTTTAAATTACTCATGTAGTTTTTGTAGTATGAGAGTATGCTCATTCTAGAATGTGAAAATACCTTTAATAATAATCTAAAAGTATAAATTCACAGTGAAAAGGGGTTTGCTGTTGGATATAAGTCTGATCATGCTTTCGGCAAAAGGTGTCCTCTGTAGGTAAACCTACTTCGTGTCTAATTTTTCAAGCATTCCTTGTTCATTTTCTTACTCCCATTTGTATTCCTTCTGCCTAGAAATGACCATGAGAGAGATGCGCCCGGATTATTGGCCTTTGCAAACAAAATTTTGGAGCCTAAGGGAACTATATTAAACCAGTTCTTATTGGCTTCCTCTTTGGAATGAAGTTTGATTACCTTCCTGAACTCAAGAGGATTAGAGACAGTCCCAGGGAATGTGTGTGCCTATTCTCACGTGTGTGTGTATGTGTGTGTTGATAACCAACAAATGAGTCTACTATTTGGTTGGGCAAAGAATTGATCAACAGCATTTGTGTTCACTCTCTAGTATGTGTAAAATATTTTTAAATTTCAGAATTACTATGCACAAAGAACTGCAGTGTGTGGTAAGAATCGTGAAGAAATTTAAACACGAATACGCATGAGCAAAGCAGGTGAATGGATGACTCCTACGTTTTGACTGATCCTGGGTCAAGAAAGGAGAGCAGATGCAAGAACCCAAAAAGCAGTTTTGATGGTGGTGGCCACTTTAAAGCCCGACCCCTGACACTGATGATGTCCAGTTTCTTCTTTTACAGAACTTAATCTAGTTGAAGATTAGAGACAGCCATTCATTATTCAGCTTTGCACCCCTGGGACCAAAGTTCGTTAAATGAATGGATAAATGATTGAGTTAATGAATTCGGAAAAGTCCCACAGGTATGGTAGCATTTAGAATGAGGAGGAGCAACCCTGTGTCTGGGAGCAAAGCCATCATTCTTACATGTCGATTTTGAGGTCTAAGAATATGGACGTTACCCTCAAGACCCACTGTCAGATCATTTAGCGTAAATTGGCAATCTGACACCAGTGTGCAGAATAAACTAGGAGAGAGGGCTTGACCTTTTAAGAAGGAAAGGGCTAATTTTTTAAATAGGAGGATCAACTTTAGGACAGATGATATAAGCTCGGGTCAGGGGTTTGAAGTTTGAAGACATGGTGAGAAAAACACGTGCAAACTTCAGCAGGCAGTACCAGACTTTAGCAGAGAGGTTGGTTCCAAGTTGAGGTAGACATTGGAAAGTTGCACCTTCGAGAGGACTCGGAAATGCCAACACCAACCCTTGAACTCCCTGGGTTTTCGCTAGCTGGCAAAGGAGACTCTGATGAATGTGGTAGTGGTGGTAATGACAGCTAGCATTTCTTGAGCGTGCCGACCGCAAGTGATCTGTATCTCACTGTATACTCACGACGGCCCCAAATTGACAAGGCCGTTTGGTGACTCAAGCCTCTTTTAGCTCACCAGGGCTGATTTCACTCTCTTCAGAACCTACAACGAGTGTTCCTAGGGCGAAGCAGCCAGTATTCAGGTCCTGGCGCAGCGCAGAAGCGTGGAGACCCGTCTTTAGGAAATGGCAGCCCACTCCAGTTTCGTTGCCTGGAGAATCCCATGGATGGAGGAGCCTGGTGTGCTACAGTCCACCGGGTCGCAAAGAGTCGGACACGACTGAGCGAGTTCACTTTCACTTTTTCACTTTCCCCTTATTAGAGCTGGAGTCTCAGGAAGGCACGCGCCAGGAGCGCCCACGGCGCTCAATAGGTCTCTGCAGCAGCTAGCCCGGCCAGGGCAGCAGTCTTCACCCTCCAGCTGGCAGCTCCGCAGCTCCTGGGCGCGCCCACATGGAGCTAGTGACCCGGCAGCCCGCCTCTCCACCTCCCGCACCGCCCCCTCGGTTCCCCGCCTCCTCGGCCCACCACTCGGGGCCCGGTCGGCCTGGCTCCCCGCGCCCCGCCCCTCGGAGCCCCGCCTCCTCACCTCCCCGGCCCACCACTCGGCGCCCCGTCTGCTCATCTCCCGGCGCCCAGCCCCCTATCGCCCCGCCCCTCTGGGCCACGCCCAGCCCGGCCGGGCGCGCGCCGGCGCGTGGGTGCGGGGCGTGAGGTTAGACGGTGGCGGGCGGGGGTGGGGCTGGGACGCGAGGGTCACGTCAAGGCGGCGTAGACAAAGGGCGGGCGCGCGCACGTCCCTACGCACGCCTGGGGCCGGCGGCGGCGGCGGCGGTAGCGGCAAGGGCGGGACGGACGGTCCGCGGAGGGATTTGGCGCCCAGAGCCTCGTGCTTGGTGAGTCGTGCGCGGCCGCCGCTTCCTGAAGGGCACGGGCCTCTAGCGGGGATGGGGGTTTGGGCCGGTGGCCGCGAGGGCCCGGTCGGGGGACCGCCCTCTCCCTGCGCCGCCCCGGCGTCGGGAGGCACCACTGCCGCTGCCGGGGTGGGGGGTTCCGGGCGGTGGAGCGGCCCGCCCGTCCTCGCCGCGCCCTCCGTCCGGGGCCGGGCCCGCGCCCCCGCGTCCCCGCGTCCCCGCGCCCCCGGCGTGTGAGAGGTCGCGGGGAGGCGCCTTCGCCGTAACGGCTGAGGCGGCCCCGGGATGTCGGTTTTCCGCTCTTGATACCCAAAGGAGCCCCATTTTGCTTTTCTTGAGGATTTCTCAAGCCTCAAAATCCTTGCCTTTCCGTTTTGATTTCACGACCCGCGAAGCATTCTCCTCCCAGAGGAATTAGTTTATTTCCTGGCTGGCCGTGTCACCGAGGGCTTTTAACTCTTGCCGTTGAAAAGTTAGGGAAAAGGTAGACCGTATGAAACACCACACTTCTGTGGAAGACAGCCCCGTACCGGACCTTAGTGCCTCACCGCCCAGGGAAGGTCTTTGTGCCGTGTGGACCTGCTTGTGAATAACCTTATTGAGGTCCGTTGAAGAATTTCCCTTTCTGGTTCATTTCCCTTAATTTTGGTTGAAGTTCGAGTATCTCTGCCCCGTGTCGTGTAGAGTCTACCTCAAACCAAGAGAAATGGCATCAAAAGCAGTTATCCTTAGACCAAAGATTGTAGAAAAAGAGCCCTGAGTTAATGCCAGTTGGATAGTCTTCTCGTTTTCACGATTTTTTTTTAAATCTTGTATTTAGAATTTCAGACAGAGGAGTAGATGGAGCAGTGAACCAGCGTGTATGCCTCAGCCAAACTCACGAGCTCACCTATGACTGAGCTCGTCTCATGCCACCCCCATATCTCTGGGATAAATCCTTGATGTCAAAAGTAGCCTAAGAGTCAGAATAAAAATCTTACTTTATTACTGCATTGGGACTGAGCCTACCATTACAAGGCCTTCAACTCAGAAACACACAATGGCATTGAAGAAGGATCGGAAAAGACATCTAAAATAATTAAGCGACTGGAGGACAGGTTAAAACAAAAGGTGGGGGATGAGAGCTTCCAGAGCATCTTGTCTTAACTTTCATTTCTGATGAGGCCTCAAGGCCCAGAGAGGTTCAGTGACTTGTCCTGATCTGCAGGAAGTGTGAGAGGTTGAACTGAGGCTGGAAAAGACATCTCCCAAGGCCGCATCTAGTCTTCCTCCTGTACCCTGCTGCTTGCCTTTGGCATTTTTTCTGGAAAAGAGAAAAGTGTGAAAGGACTGTGATTGAAAACTCTTCCAACGAAGGGCTAGGGTGGGCAAATATGATCCTTTCTGCCAAAATCTGGAATAAATGAAACTTTGGGATAGGCCTTAAATTATTTCTTAAGCTAGACTTGGGATAAATTGAGGAGTTCTCACCATTGCTTTGAGGAAACATGGGAAGATGCTGACCTTAAAAGTGGAATTCCAGACTGAGAATGAGAACAAACTTGAAGATTTAGATTACACTCATAGCTATTTAATGAAGTGTGACTAAGAGAAACTGGAATGATTTTTAGGGGGGTTAACCCTTGGTTTCCCTGGTGGCTCAGACAGTAAAGAATCTGCCTGGAACCCAGGAGTCCCGGGTTTGATCCCTGGTTTGGGAAGATCCCCTGGAGAAGGCAATGGCAACCCACTCCACTATTCTTGCCTAGAGAATCCCATGGACAGAGGAGCCTGGTGGGCTACAGTCCATGGGGTCACAGAGAGTTGGACAGGACTGAGCAACTTACTTACTTACCCTTGATGTTTTGCTCTTGGTAGCCTGGAAAACAATATCGTGCTCCCATAAAATATCCTTCCTTGATGTGAGCAGATAAGAATCCAGCACTGCGTGTGTTGCATTATGGGTTAGACTTTTTTTCTTTTAAACCATAATCTGCATTTTCTAGTGTACTTTATCCAATTAAGTTTCCTTGTCTCAAGTAAGACAGGTAAATTCAGTATCTGGGCCTTAATTTTTTTTTTACCCTTAAATGCTGCCCGAGGGATGCTGTGAATTCTTGTATGTAGACTTCTCTGAGTTTGCTTATAAGTTCAGTTTGTATGATATGACATAATTGTTTATAAATTTACTTTCAGGATGGACTTTTCTTCTGTGAGTTTGTGACCTAAATACAGTAATTGTCATGCACATCTAGCTTATGGAAATGCGGCTCCAGTGAACAGCATCTGGGTATCTTGGTAAACCATTACCCCTGAAGACTTGGGGTGGTTGGGGGGAATTGTTATTTTATTTTATTTTTTTTTGAGGGGCGAAGGTGGTGTGTGCTGGAGAATATGGTCCTGGTCAAGCTTGACCTGTACTGCAGAATTGTTTCTTTAGGTAAAACAGAACCTCATCATGGCAGGTCATTTACTTCTCACTGTATCATTAGGCTCATGGCAGGGTGGGTACCTGAGCAAGTGTCATCAGTGCCCTGCATAATAACACTTACTGTAGCATGAGGAATGAATTTTAGAGTTAGGAGAAGCTTGGGATTCCCCATAAGTCCTTTAAGGCGCTCTTTCCTATATAAAACATGGACATGCACACGCCACCAGCCATGTGGAGGCTGGCCTGCTCTGTTGAAGCATTTGTTGTACATAAGAGTTGTTAGGGTGTTTACTTCCTATTAAACTGTGAGCTCAAGATCTGCAACTCCAGAAAAGTACTTTGTAAACCATAGGCATATAGTACACTTCTGTTGACGTTTTAAATAGAAAAACAAACCAAAAAACCAGTGAGGGGACTTAAATCCACAGAAGGCGAATGACCTATTGGCAGTCACACAGAGCAGAGAGGAACAGAGCTGAGGGTCCAGCCTCAGACTGGATTCCTGAGTCCAGTTCTTAGCCCCTGCTTTGCAGAGTTCTCTTCACACCACAGAGGACTAGGGAGGGGAAGATACTTGGCATGTATTTTTTTCCTTACCCATTGGAGATTTCATTATTTTCAAGGTCTGCCTTCAAAGTTTGTGGTCAGTGCTAAGTAAAACAGGTGAAATAATTTTAATAATTTAACCCAAATTGTCCAGAGTATCTGTTCAACATGTAATCAACATACAAGCCCTTTGTTAATTTATCTATTTTTAATTGGAGAATAATTGCTTTACAGTATTGTGTTGGTTTCTGCCATGTATCAGCATGAATCAGCCATAGGTGTATGTGTGTCCCCTCCTTCTTGAACTTCCTTCCTACCTCTCACTGCGTCTCACCCCTCTAGATTGTCACAGAGCGTCAGAGTTGAGCTCCTTGCATCATACAGCAAATTTCCACTGGCTGGCTAATTTTACATACAGTAATGTATATGTTTCAGTAATATGCAAGCTCCTAATGAGATCTTTTACATTCCTGGTTTTTCACCTTAAATCATTGAAATTCCAGTGTCTGTTTTTACAGCTCATTTCAATTTCAACTGTCCACGTTCCCCAGTGCTCAGGGGTTATACGTGGTTAGTGGCTGCTGTGTTGGGCAGCACAGAACCATGTCAACCGAACACAGAGATGAAAGAGTGTTTTATGTTCCTGGTAGAATGCAGGTCTGAGGTTGGAGGTTTTTTTTTCCCTTGCACTGGGTCTTTATTGTGTGAGCGGGCTTTCTCGAATTTCCTTGAACGGGGGCGGCTCCTCGTTGCCATGCACAGGCTTCGCGCTGCAGTGGCTTATTTGTTGCAGAGTGTGGTCTCTAGAGCTCAGGCTTCAGCAGCTGTGGGGCCCAGCCTTAGTTGCTCCATGGCAGGTGGAATCTTCTCAGACCAGGGATCGAACCCCTGTCCCCTGAATTGGTGGTCAGATTCCCATCCACTGTGCCATCAGGGACGTCCAAGTTTGTGGTTTTGGTCATGAGTTTGTTTTTTTCTTTCCTGTTGAGGTGATTTCTCTTTGCCTATTTAGGGTTGTTGGTACCTTGTGGCAAGTTGAACAAAGAAGTCCCCCGTGTTTCACAGATTTTGCTTTTGTGATGAAATGCTTTCTCATTTTAAGTAAGACTGCTTAGTCATAGGGGTGAGGGAGCTTGACTTTTAAAAAATGGCTAGTGACAAAACTCAATAATAAAATAACCCAATAAAAAATAGGCAAAAGATTTGCACACTTCACCAGTGAAAACATACAGATGGCCGGTAAGCACACGAAAGATGCTTCATATCATTGGTCAGGAGGGAAACACAAAACTATGAGATACCCTCTCACATCTATTAGCCTGTCTAAAATTAAAAAGATTGATTGTAACAAGTGTTGGTGAGGATGTAGAGCAGATGGAACTTTCAGACACTGTTGGTGAGAATTAACACAAGATGGTCCAACCAGTTCAGAAACCGGTTTGGTAGTTTCATCAAAAGCTAAATGCTACCTCTTTCCACTCCTCGGTATTTGTGTTTATCCAGGAGAAGTGAAAGTGTGTGTCCTTACATGGCTGGTAGGTAGCGGCTTTATTTGTGACAGTCCCTGACTGGAAGGACCATTTGCTGGGTGAGTGGGTAAAGAAGCTGTGGCCTGTTCTACCCAGGCAACAGTTCAGCAGTAGGGACTGCCATGGGCAGCCCTGAATGGTTCTCAAAGGGATTATGCCAAGTAAAATAAACCAGACAGAAAGGTCTTGAAAAAAGAAGGGCAGGAAGATGCTTCCAATTACACATACCATACTCAGATACCAATTTTGAAATGGAGTTCTGAGAGCATTGTTCAGGGTCTTACAGCCCCAGCAAATCAAATTGCCCTTTCTTCAACTGATGACCCCAGAATAGCAATGTGTCTTGTATCTTTGTCCTTTTTTTTCTTTTCCAGTGACGTTGCTTTATGTTGAACTTGGTTCCCCGTTACTTATTACCCAGATCCAACTCACGGGAGGCCTTTCCCGGCAAGGAGAAAATATTCAGGCCTTAACTGAGGTTGACCTCAGTTAAGACCATGACCCTGAAGCTGACCATATTCCTGTCTTCTTCCCAGTAAGTTGAATCATCCTTGAGTCCGCCATATCCTGGCTTTGTCTGAGACCACCTGTTCTATCCAGGATTGCTGTCGGCTGTAAGCGTGTCCCTTGTTTTTCAGCAGTTCAGGTGTGCTTCACCTAGCAGCTCTGGGCTGCCCCATCTCCTCGGAAACATGTTTACACCTTTCGTCCTGGGCAGCAACATCCTACTCAAGCAAGTTTCTTACACTCCA